TTTTAAACTGAACATTTTTAAAGAGGAACATGAAAATATATGTGAATATATTTACTTGAATTTCATTTTTTCTCGTTAAAGGGTGTTATATTCTTAGGAATAAGCTACGTTAACCACCCCCTTTCTGCAGCATCTGCTACTGTGGATCATTTTCTGTCTTTAGTCTTACCGATAAGATAAAAATCTCAATTTGAATTGTACACTTCAGAGATTACAGAGTATTTTTGCCATGTTTAGTTGTATTTCATTTAATTGTATTCTGTTCGTGGCGTGTTAGCATTACAGGTTATATTGTCATATTCTCTTCAAATGTATTATTTTCACATTTATTTATCTTCAAATAACTAAAAATTCAGATATTTTAGTCTTGTGTAAAGTGAAGATGTTTGCTTCCCCAGCTGGGCCATCTGTTAGTTTTAGGTCAGTTGTTAATATGAGTTTAAATCTAATCAGACAATCCCACAGAAAGTATTATATAGGATAAGGAATGTCAGCCAATACATAACGTAATGATATGAATGAAGTAAGCTTTCTTTTTATTGGTCTCATAGTTCCCTTCACAAGAGCAGGAGGTAACTAATGCAGATTTATATTAAATGGGAAATCACCCCCTCCTTAATAATTTCCATCATTCTGTTTTTTAACTCCGTTCTCCTTTGTGTTGTTTCTGTAGTATAGGAGTTGAATTGTGTACTGGTGTACATTGATTGCCTGTAGCTGGGGCCATGCTGTTTGTGAGATTGGGGGGTTCATTTATGGATTTTTCTTATAAAGGCTTGGGATCTTCAATGAAGCCTAATGAAAGATAATTACAGCTCAGTCAGTAGAATCTGTCTGTGGCAGGTTGTTAAAGTAAAGATACTTTCCTTGAACTGTTATATAAAAGGATTTATAAAGTAAATACTGCAAGTGTTATACTTAATGAAACAATATGTCATGTGTAATTTCAGGCCATATGTCTATGCTTTCCACTCTGAGCAACCAGATATCTTTGGCCACAGACTCGGACCTTTAAGCAGTGAGGTGAGATTTTTAATTTAAGAAGAGCAGGGGAGGAAAAAAAACTGAACGTCCTCCTGATGTTCAGGCCTCCCATATGTGAAACAACTGCTGCACACTGCGCTAATGCAGAGCAGATGTGTTTAATAGAAAACAGCTTTCTGTGTTCAAGAAGGGTCTGTATTCGATTTCCTAAGCTCAAGGCTGGAAAGTCAAAAGAAAACAGTTGAAAAAACAAACTTCAGGAGGATCAAGAGCTATGTTCAATGAAGGAAAACACTGAATGTACAACTAATTTTTTATGTAAAAATCATTCTAGCATGCTGTTCTTTGGGCTCTGAGCTTTAAGTGCTTTAATGCTAAGAATTGAGCTGAAGCTCCTGAAAACCAAACTTCTAAAATTTAATACCATATAGATACACAGCACTTTTGCATTCAGATGTTTGCTCATATAATGCATACCCCTCAATGCTGACAATCAGTACTGTTGCAATTAACACTCACTAATAAAATGGTCAAGATGTGGGAAAATCTTATACTCTCCTACGTCCAGAAATATTCTGTGGACAGCAAAGACTTTTCATGAGTATTTGCACAAGGAGAACACATCTGAAAATGTACTCCCCAAGACATGCTTAATTACATTGAGTCTCTTAGGGTGGTACAGTACTGTGAAGGGTCACACTGCTGTGTTCTTCAGTGCTCACTTCCAGCCTGGGACACCTAGTGTGTGTTCTCCCAATGTTTGTTTGCACCAGGTGCTCCAGTTCTTTCCCCTCAGCCCAGAGGCATGCTGGGTAGGATAATTGGAATGTCTAGTGCCTCTCTACCGATACTCAGTATCAATTGACATTCAACATTTTAGATGTTTGTATGAAGCTACAGCTTAGCTACTACTTTCCCATCAGATCTCCTAAGGTTTAAGAAGCTAAACCAGGTTGAGCCTGGTCACTATGGGAATGGAAGAACTCCAGAGAAAACTAGGTTTCTGATGTAAGGGGTATTGGTAGACCTGTAGGTGGCGCTATTCCCTTCGGATCAGAATTTACAAATCAATATCCCAGTATGGTGGCCAAGTGCCAAGCTGTAAGGCAATACTGTCCTATGGAAGAGATGTTAAGACAAGATCCAGACTATTTGATCCCATGCACTTTTTCGTAATAGTAGGGCTGTTAACCCCGTTCTTCTAGGTAAATTCTGCTCTGGGCTTGTACAACGTAGTCTCCCTGAAGTTTGATTGGTAAAGTCTCACTTTTCCATTGCATCTGCTTTGTAGTACAGCTGCTGGGACAGATGAGTGCAGCTGCATGTCACCCAAGTGGGTGCTGCACTTCAGTGGTGGATGAAGTGGATTCTCTAAACTTTGCAGATGAGATCTATTCTCTAAATTCAAGGAATTATTAGTACAATTATTTATAGTAAATTCATGGGTAAATAAAGTAACATCAGTCCAAAGAGCACTTATACGCATTTGCTTATTTTATTTAACTTGCTTAAACTTATTACTATTACTTAATACATGTAAGTATGGTGTAATATTTAAAATAAGGTACATCCATTAAATATTACTCTTTATCCCTCTGACATTTGTTTGTTCAGCTGTCTTTTTTTACATTTCCTGCCTTGAGGTTAGAAAATGAATTGCAGACCCTGAACAGGGAAAGCTGTTTTCTATAAAATGCTTCTTGTGTGCACTTGTGTCTGTACACTGCGATAGACTGGCATCCCAACCAGGGTCCCGTCTTGTATCCTGGTTCTAATAATCTGAGGTGAAACAACCTTACCGTGAATAAATTGCTCTCTGCTAATGGATGAATGGCAGACTGTGCTAAACCTTTGTGTATTATCCAAGGTAATTTACATTGCTGCACACATGTACTGGTTTCACTGAGGACTGATTGCTTTTTACAGGATAATACCTGCTTTTTTGTAAAAAAAAAAAAACCAAGCTCTTTTATGCCTGGGAAAAGTCCAACCTGGCTGTGCTAATCTATGTGCCATTTGTAAATGGTAAACACCCTGTGTACTCTTTCTTTGCACAGTTGAATAACCCTCTGAAAGAGATTGACAGAGTTGTTGGGCAGCTGATGGACGGCTTGAAGCAGATGAAACTGCACCGCTGTGTCAATGTTATCCTCGTTGGAGATCACGGTATTCTCTCTGGCAGAAAGGAACTTTACTGTAGAACTTCTTTTTCCATTAACCAAGCCTAGTATCTGCTCTGCCACATGATCATGCAAATGAATCCAGTGATTATGGTGCTAATCTTGGTGAGGGGTAGTATTGCATATATTGTGTATAAATGTATACAAATCCTTGTTTTAAGGTCTAATTTTCCATTGCTGAGAGTGTTTTGAAATGATTTCCCCTATAGAATACCAATACATGTTGCTGGCTGTTGTTTTGACTCCACTCTTCTTCTGGCATGTTCTCTTATACTCTTGGTGTTAAATCAAATGCATCAAGATTTGTAAGAATTGGATAGTATGCTTAGTTTAATTACTCCATATTTATGCTTTTTTTTACATAGGAATGGAAGAAGCCAATTGCGACAGAACTGAATTCTTAAGTTCTTACCTCCCTAATGTGGATGATATTATTTTGATACCAGGATCTTTAGGCAGAATTCGCTCAAGATCACCCAACAATTCCAAATGTGAGTTATAAAATGTAATGCTGCAGGACATGCAAAGCTAACTAGTGAATCACCTGTACTTTTGGATTGCGTTTTATTCTGTTCAGATTTCTTGCGTCGGGGTTTGTCGTGCCACAAGAATCTGAGCTCTCTTGCAGGAAATACCGTTTTGATTTCTTTTTTTTTTCCGTCCTGATTACTGAAGTTAAAGTGAAGCGTTTCGGCAAACGTCCCTCAGGGCTGCTCAGGAGGACCCTTGCAAACATGCTAAAAGGCAATTTCTCTTTCTTGGCTCAATTGTCAATTTCAGCATAAGTCTAATTGTTATATAATAATGCTCTATTTTTAATGAATAAAATTGTTTGCAAAAGTGTTTTAACCATGATGTTTGGTAAGTGCTTATTGAGAAAAGTGTGCAGTCATCAGGTTAGATGGAAATGGTCTGAGTCACTATTTTCATTTTCTGTATAGTCTTGGCCACCTATGTGGAACACATTAATGTTAATAGACTTATTAATTTTATCTAACGGCATTTGAACCTGTGGTGAATAATTGTACATGCACTCTATGACATGGAGAATATAGATTAATGAGAAGTGAAAGCATTATTTCAGAGTTTATCCTACATGTCGAGTAGCACTGGGTGTTGTCTATGGTGTTTAATTTCTAACTGTAGAGCACTATGGAATGTATCTGCTGTTTACAGTGCAGTAATTACCACAGCAATATCAACAGAACATAACTGCATTTTATCAACCTATTGAATGATCTAGAAATGAAAATGTATAGGTTTGGAGTTTTTTGGGACTGGTGATATTTTTGGAACTGGTAGTATTTTCCTTGTGCGATAGAGGCAGGAAAAATGTTTAGTGTTCTAATTTATGTAACTTACCTAAAATATAAATTACTTACAAATATATGTGCTCATGTAAATCTTTAACATCTTTCTTATTTCATTTTCAGATGACCCTAAAGCAATTGTAGCTAATCTAACGGTGAGTACACTTTTCTATGGCGTCCTGCCATCTGAAATGGAATGCCGCTTATTTCTCACTTAGGTAGTCTATAGTAACATTCAAAGTTTATGCTTCCAGTTAAGGCATTGACATTGGATACCTAGGTGATATCCATTATTCAGCATTTATGTAATGCACGGAGAACAGGCCGCCACATTTGTTTTAACCCGATGGTGAGCAGTTTCACATTATTGTGGATGAAGGCCAAATGTCCAACTGACCTGCACAGTTTGAACATAGAGGTTTATGCTCGAGTTACATCAGTCGCGTCTAGGCTAACTAATATTTTGTGTCTTCAGTGTAAGAAAGCAGACCAGCACTTTAAGCCTTACCTGAAGCAGCACCTCCCTAAGCGCTTACACTACGCCAATAATCGAAGAATTGAAGACATCCATTTGCTTGTGGAAAGGAAGTGGCATGTTGCAAGGTAATGGCATCCTGTGGAGCCAATAAGCCATTCCAAAATGTTTTTTAAGCGTAGAGCGAGCACCGATTAGCTTCTGGGAAAGACCCTTTAGTTTAATGTGTTCAGACCCAGACAAGGTGGCAGTTTCTTGCTTTGAAGAATCGCAGCCATGACGTCAAAACAAGTCAATGGGCGGGAAAATAACTGAGGGGGGAAATCAGGAATTCAAGAAGAAGTTGTCTCTACTGGGAGGTTCTCATATTTTACTTGGCAAACGAGAAAGAAAAATGAAAGACATGTTTCAAGTCTTGCTGCAAAGATACAGTCTAATCACCGGTACCAGCCGAATGAACTGAAAGAAACTTTTTTTTTTACTTAGCAACAAGCTAAGTATCCTCCTGTAGATAGCAGACGTATGCAGCTCCATTTAAAAAGGTTTAGATCAAGTCCGTTTGCCGAACTTCAGGTAGTGCCTCACTTGAAAACTGTGTACTTGCAGCTTTAAGGTGAGAGCGAAGTCAAATTTGAACTTGTTTCAGCGTAGGTCTGTGTGCATGGAGTCCGTAGACATGCTTAATAAAATTTAAAAGAAGTATGTCAAAACCAGATATTTTTACACTTTAGGATATGCATTTAGTCCTTTGTGCTCCTCAATGTTAATTGGAGTTCTTTGAAACTGATCAAAAATGATAACCTTGACAGTTTCCAACAGACACTTTCCTTAATATATAATGTTTAGGAACAGGTAATGGCCTTGTTCCATGCTGAAAAGAAAGCAAACACAACATTTAGGCTGTGAAGCCTTCTTCAGCTGTGAGCCTTCTTCCCTCACACCTGAAGAAGGCTTCACAGCCGAAGTTGTTTCCTTTCATTTCTTTTCCGTATGGAATAAAGCTGTTACCTGTTCCTTTGCAGCCTATGCATATTGACGCAGCTCCCTACATGAAATGCATAATGTTTACTATGGTCACAGGTCTTGGATATCTTATGGATATCCCATAAAGTCATCTTGGTTGTTAAGAACAATACAGATATAATGCAGATATTGCTGTGTTAAAACATAATGATAAATGCTTTTAATATTTTTCATTCATTTGTTTGGTGAGTGATCTAAATCCTCTAAAGCTAAAACAAATCTGTATTTTTCCTAGATAATCAGAAAGGTAGAATGATGAAAAGGTCTTCCAAACAGAAAAGCTATTTATTTCAAGATACTGTTTGAAAATATGCTCTTTGAATGAGGCTTATAGTATAGTGCCTCGGGGATAGGCTGTGCTCCATGATTGCTAGAAATTGATTGGCAGGTAACTTCTCTCGCACTCAGCAGAGATATGTTGGAATCAAGCATTAAAAATCATCTGGAGCCATGCAGTCACTTGGATTATTCCCTCAGGTAATGAATGGCATGCAAAAAACAATGCATCAAACTTGGGTGAAACAAGACTTTTTGAAATGCTTGAAAAGTCTATTCTGATTGGCATGAAGTAACTTTTTTTCTTTTTCCTTTAACTTGGTTCTTTGCATTAAAATTCACATTGCCAAGAGGTCCAGGATCCAGCCTCCAAGATCACAAAAAAAAAAATCACGTCACTTTCAAAACTTTTATATCATACAAGGTGTATACACTACACCATTCTGTCTCAAAAGTTCTACTATACTGTATTCCACAAAAGACCAGCAGTTCCCAGCCTGTAGTGTGCGGCTTTCTGGTGGTCTGTGAAACTACTGCAGGGAGTCTGCAGAAAATAAAAACATGATAGGGCATTGGATTTGAGATTAAAACTGTTGTCAGTCCCACTTGTCATGCCTGTCGGTGAAATTGGAGAAACATCACCAGTCTCCTACCTGAGTTACTCAATATATGTATGTTCATGCACTTACATGTGCTTTGTAAGGTTCAGAAGGCTGGGAACTACTGCTTTAGACAATATGTTTTATTAAAATGTGCTGCAGGGGCACTGTTTTCAAATGATTGCTTTATACAATAAAATTAATTCAGTGAAAGGTATGCAATTGCATTTTAACCTCAATAGCATAAAAAGAAAATTCATCCAATTGGATTGTGCAAATTAAAAGTGATTATTTTTTCAGTGTGACCATTTTTGTTTTCCTGCAGTAGAGATCAGAATCTGGTTTCTTGGATGCTGGGATATGATTTAATTGAAATGTGATTGCGCACCTGAATCTTTTTTTTTTAATCTAGTGTGCATGCTGTAACAGTTGGGTGTCCATGTGAATTCTATACAAGATTAGAGACTAATCATTTTATTGACTTTACGATCGGAGTACTTGGTGTTTTTGCTGTTTCTTTCAATACTATTATCGGTGTTTCTAAATTGGGTAAAAATAACAGAAACTCTTTCCATAAACATTACATTATGATTTAGAAAGGAGCCACACTGTTTTATGTAGTTTCTATGTTAATGTTTGTTTAGAAAAAAAGAAGCATTTTGATATTATTTTCTGTACCTGTGGCTGCTTTAGCAAGAATTGTATGTAATTAGGTATCATCATAAAATAAATAAGGAAAATATATGAAAAAGAATGGTTTAAACTCAACATTCAATAGCTAGCCAATAGATATCCATGCTAGCCTCTTACCTTTTGAATAATGTATTCTAAATCTAAATTATTCTGTTATATAAATATTGTTTTGTCAACCAATTATTCCAACACATGTATCTTCTGCAAACCTCTGGGCTGATTGGAAGGATGTTGCGAGGGAAAGCAGCATTGTAGTACAATGCTCAGAAGTTTCTGTTACATCACTGCACACAGTCCTCAACAATATATTGATGTCTGTTCCTTTACCGTTTTCTTTAAAAAAAAAAAAACAGTTAAGGTGGCAAGCGGAAATTGAGAAGAGTACAAATGAACATTAAAAAAGCAAAAGGCACACAGGAAGCTTTCCTAGAAATAAGAAAATCTTCTAGTATCATTTGCATTCACTCACAGCTGGTTTGAGGCTAGGCAAATTATTCGCCGCATAAAACCAGTCTGGTGTGATGTGTGGATCTGCAGTGCTGTAATGCTCCTGCCACTAATGCTACATCTAGGAGATATCCTGTCCTTCGTGTTAACAGGTGCAGGTTATCAATAAATGGAGACAAGCAATAGGACTGGGATCTCCAACAGTTGGAAAAGTGGCCAGTGTAATGATTTCTTATAACTCCTAGTTAATATCCAAGTTTTATATTTGTCTAGGAAACCTGCTGAAGGAAAGAAGCACCCTGGGAAATGTGCTTTCTATGGAGACCATGGCTATGACAACAAGATCAACAGCATGCAGGTATGTGGCTCTTGAATCGGAACCTCCCGTTTATTCAGCTGTTGCTATTATTACTAAATAAGATTTGTTTTTCAGACCATCTTTTTGGCCTATGGACCTACATTTAAATACAAGACAAAGGTTCCACCATTTGAAAACATTGAACTCTACAATGTCATGTGTGGTAAGTTTTAGGTTTATTTAAGTCGACAGAGGCATCTCTTTTTTTTTTTTTCCCTTAGGCAGTCTTCATTGTAAAATCCAATACTTGGTTAATTCATGGAAATTGTTGAAGAAAACAAAAAAAAAACTGGGAAAACGTTTTTTTTTCCTTTAGACCTTCTGGGTTTGAAGCCTGCTCCCAACAATGGGACCCATGGGAGTCTGAACCATCTCTTGAAAAATCCCCCATTTAAACCCACCATGCCAGAAGAAGTAGCCAAGCCTTCACATCTGACGCCTGCTTCCTCAGTAACGGATGACTTGGGGTGCACTTGTGATCTGAAGGTTAGTCAAATCCCAAAGTACTGCACGATCGTCTTTTTTTTTTTTTTTTTAGCATTTTCAAATGTCATCATGACCAGATACTTTTAAACCTTCTCAAGGTGTCTTAGCATGCCAAGAGGTTGTGTTTCAAAGTGTTTTGTCTCCACTTAAATTTGCTCCAGATAAGCCACAGCACATTTAATAAAGCGTAGAAGAAAAAATGTTTTTCCCTTTCTGTAGTTTATGTTTGTAGATTTAATTGGGAGTTTCAAAACATTTATTTTATGGGCCTATGCCCCCCAGTTTATTTAGCTTAACCTTTCTTGATTTCTTTTTTTTTTAGGTGAAAACATTTTCTCTAACAAAGTTTATTGCTGAGCAAAAAGCCCCCAAGAGCAACTTGTACATTGCAGTACACACTTAAGTTAGTATTGATCTCTGTATTGCAGAACAAAGGAGATGAACTGAACCAACGCCTGCTAAGCAAAGGATCAGACGGTAAAATATCTGAGTTTTTTTTCTTCTGTTCCTATGTTTAAACTGAACTTCCGAAATAGACCGCTCTCACAGATCACTGTTCTGAAACACAGGGGTTTATAATTGGCTTGTTACAGAAGGTAGAGATTCTCATATTCTGTTATACTTAAACTTGAAATACAACCATAATGAAGGTCAGGGTGACCATAATATGGGTGCTGGTACAAACAGAACTGTGGTGCAGGGGGCAACTTACTTGTTTATCTCTGCAGCGTGTGTCACCTTCACCGTAAAAGATGCACAGTTTTGGATTACATTATATTTATTTAAAAAGGTTGATCATTTACTGCTCACAAAAAATAGATATCTCAATAAGTTTGCAAAGCCAATCTGTCCACATGAATACATACAGGTACATTGAGTTCATTTGAGCTATCTCATATCTGAAGTGTAGAGATTGATAGGTATTTATGTCAGAGATAAGAGATCAATTTTAGAGCTGCTAAGCCACAAAGAAATATGATGTAATTTAAGTATTTAACAGGTAAGCGTATAAAAAAAATCGTAAATGTTGCTTTGTCAATTTTAGTGCTTCCTCATTACATTTTATCCTTTTAATTAATCAAAGTTGAATGACACAAATGGATGTTAATGATAACCTCAGCCACAAAATGTTGTTATTTTTAATGCAGTGCTTATTTAAATCTGGTGGAGGAAGAGGTGTTTGTTCATTATTAGGTACTGTTAAATTCAGTGTATGGGAATGTTTTAATATAGCAATACTCTCCCAATTTAGCGACCAGTAGTAAGGTTATTGAGTATATCACTCTTCCACAGAGCCACCAAACATTTTAAAGCCTGTGTCCTATAATGAAAGCCATATTCAATGTTGTGCACAAGGAATTTTTGTGAAGCATATTGAGAGCAAAGCAATGCATATCTCTGTTAGTTGGAAATTGGAGGCTTGGCAGAAGCTTCTTTAAAGGACGAAAAAGATGGAGGTCACTGAGCGCACAATCAGGACAGTGAAGCAGGTGGTATACAGTCTCCCATCAATACTGCCATAAACATGGCTGTGACAGGGAGTGTTTGTGGCCTGGCATTATATTTAAGCAAGCTGGTGCCCTAGTGTAGAAACCTATGGATGACAAATGATGACACTGACTTACAGATGGTGTCATGTCTTTTGCACATAGAAATCTAATTATATAACACACTTCAGTGATGGAGTGGGTTGGCACAGTCTAAGATGTCTTTAATCTGACTTAGCACTCACATGGGCTCGTAACCTCACAGACAAATTAATAGCAGTGCTGTACCTTAAAACCATCTGTGTAATGTATTTTTCCTTAGTAAGAGTTATTTAATTAAATATCCTTCTAATATAAAATAGAGCACATTCATGATGTTTTTGGTGCTTTAAGGAGCTGCTGACCTTTTACTTGTAGTTCAGATTTCCCTGGAGTTTTCCAACAACTCTCCATCTCTTGCCTTTTTTTTTTTCCTTATGCATGGTGACCCTGATTATAGTAACTGCATTCTTTGTACTTTTGAGATCTGTACAACACAAAAAATGTTTTGAAAACAGAAGTGGATATGAAGTGGAGTACCGATATTGTTTTGGGTAGAGGTTTTGTTACTTAATGTGAAAAGCAAATGAACCAGTCAACAACATGGATAAAACTCTTGATTCTTCAAATTCTGTTTTGAAATCAAATAACACCATACTACATCTGAGGATCTTGCTGGTTGGATGTGTTTAGTCTGATTTATAGTGAATTTTTTTTAAGTAATATGATGACAAAAGAGGACTTTCTTTTATAGATGGCAAACATCTCCTATATGGTCGACCTGCTGTGCTTTTCCGTACAAAATACAGCATTCTTCACCACAGCGACTATGTCAGCGGTTATAATGAAGCCTTATCCATGGCTCTGTGGGCATCATACACAGTCCCTAAGCAGGTACATAATGCAGTATTGTGGTCATCATTGTGTTAAAGTTGTCTCATGTTCCCTCACTGATTTTGAGAGCTGGGATGAAGCAGACTTGACAGTTTTAAACCTGAATTATGCAAAAGAAATAATTACTTCCAGAAAACTGCGTTTTGGGTACATTTCCTTTGTCTTTAAAAGATGTTTTGTGTTTTAGTTTTTTTCCATCTATATTAGAATAGTTTGTTGAGTGGAAAAATAGGCTTTAAATTTTAAATACTTGTATCGTTTTCAATAAAGAGAAGAAAGGTTAAAAACATTTATGGTCACATCCATAACTTAATCCCAGTGCTCTAGAGCAAAGACTTTAATTTATAATTTCAAAACTGTAACAAAACAACTTGGCAGCTTTGTCTGCTGCCATAGTGAGATGTAACATAACCCTGATGTTTTAGTGAGATGTAAAATAAAGTTTTTCTTAGCTCCTAACAATGCCATACTAATTGTTAGAACCACTAGAGTTCATATCTAAACTGTATTAGCAGCTACCTGGAGTTGATTGGCATATTTTCATTTGCAGTTATTTTAAGGTAAATAATCTGAAATGAGTATAACATTTGTGGAATGCTTCATATAAAACACAATCATATTAATCCTTATGAACTGTTTGTCTTCTGATTTTATCATTTTGAAAATACTTTCACTCTATGACTGTTTTAGAATTAGAATTTTGTAATTAGCATTATGAGTAGATATATATGTACAGGTAATATACTCACTTTATATTACATATATATCAAATTTGAAGAAAAAGCATTTTAAAAGATAAAAACAGCCTGTTCTTAAAAATCGGTGCCCTATCAAATCTGCACAGATTCACTGGCCACCTTAAAACCTTTTTTATTGTTGTCCCATATTGTCATCTTTTACTTATGTATACATCTGTATACATATTTCCCAGTCTGTAAACTGACACTGTTACAGTTTGAAATGTGCACACATGAAATGGTTATTGTTGTCATTCCTGAAGAAAATTATGATAATTATATGATATTTGAATATTTTAGAGGTATTTTGTTTCAGATATACCAAGAGGCATTAAAAACACGATTCTATTGATTTCAATACACTTTTGTTGCGTTTTTACCACTTCTCAGTACATGCTAATGAGGACATGCTGCTTTTTATAGACGTTTTCCCACAATAAAGTGCTTATTTTCCTCCTTTCCTCTTGTTTTTTTTCAGACGGATGCATTACAGTTTCCGGAGTCGCTGTGCAGCGACGTGAGGCCTGATATTCGCATCCCGGCAGCCAACAGTCAGTCCTGCTCTGGATACAAGGCGGATAAACAGATATCCTATGGATTCCTCTTCCCTCCACGTAAGTGGGAAAAGGATCATTCCAAAACGTCCAATGACCTAAACAGTTAAGAGTTCTGCTGCTGTTCTGTGCTCATCGTTGTACCAGATATTGTGACACTGTCGGTAATATGGCCATCACGCAGATTGTTCTTATTCTTCCTAGCTGTATTTCTGAGAAAAGATTGTGATGCTTTTTTCAGACCAAAATGTTCAGATGTTTTGTTTTAGGCATGCAGACGTCTAAATTAGCATTTCTATAACATGCAATCCTCAACAAGCATGAGATATAATGGAGTATATTATGTTAAATGTTTGTCCTCTTATGCAATAAGCAGACCAACTGGTAGTCAGTACTCAAGGACTCAGTTCATTCTAATAGATCTTTCATATATGATTTAAGTGCTTACTAAAGCATTATAGCGAGACGTAAGATGTGATCGTGTTAAAGGCTTTATTTTTTAAATTGTTCTAAAGCTTCTAGTTAATATATTCTAAGAGGGAACATTAAAGAAGTGCCTGACCCAAACAACCAAGTGTCTCAACAGAATGGTTAGGTAATGTCTGCACACACTACAGTATGCCTAAATATACATTGACAAATTTGTTTTTTTAACACATTCCATGTATTGAGAAAGAATCTAATACTGGGTTTTCTAATTTATAGAAAAGAGGAGGTCTGCATTAAAACAATTATCACACCTGCTGTGAGGCAGAGCTGTATCATGCAAAGGAAAGGTAAAGGTTGTTTCCATGCTGAAAGGTTAAGAAAAGAAACACTGTTTCAGCTGTAGCGTCTTCTTCAGGTGTTTGCATTTCTTTACCTTTCAGCATGGAATGAACCTATCATGTAATGTAAGAATGTTTTATAACCTTTCTCTACTGCTTATTTCATGATACCTTTCATTTATGACTGTATGTAGGCTTGGTATTCTCGTTCCTGTAAAGATTTTCCATTCCGTCTTAAACTTTTATTCATGATGGTAGAATAGTAATTAGCATTCAAATTTAGTTTAGGTGGTTTCAGCACTAATTTAAATAGACCATCTTTCCCAATGTGTAAAACATAAATACCGACAAAATGCTTTCCTCATCCTCTTTCCCGCGTTTTCCAGAGCACACTAAGGCTGTATGAGATATAGTTAACAATGAAAATAACTAACAAAAGTTGTCTTTTATTTATTGATAGAACTGGCTTCCTCACCTGAAGCAAGATATGATGCACTCCTCATTACAAATACTGTTCCAATGTACCCTGCCTTTAAAAGTGAGTATATTTTTCATCCTGGCTCAAAGAAAGAAGTCTTTAAAGACAATATTGGAAACTATTTATTCTTGAGTTGTGCAAGTACCATGTAAAAACATTTCTAATCTCTGCCTATAACCTACAACACAGCGCTAGGACCCTGGGTTGAATTCCTGAGGTGCTATGTGCATGGGGTTTGTATGTTCTCCTCATGTTCTGCTTTCCTTCCACAGTCCAAGGCCATACTGGTAGGTTAATTGACTTCTGGAAAAACTGGACTTGGTGTGTGTGTCTGTGCTTGCTTTTTCATAGTGTTGTAGATGGAAATGAGGCGTTAACATAGATATCTAGGTATTAAGGAAAACATTTTGCCTTTTTCAGTGTTCCATCTTATATTTATAGTTTTTACTGCCTGCTAGGTGGTTGCTTAGTCTTGCAGTTAATTATGTGTTTATCTTCATTTGTATTACAGTAGCAAATGCAAACCTTTTTAGGGTATTGACCTTTTAGTTTATTATTCACTTAACTGTGGTTTATATGTGTGTGGTTCCCAGGAAATTGTGTTTTATAGGCAGTAAACACGGACAGAAAGCTAAGCAATGGAAAAATGTTCGTTTTTTTCTCTTGTTTTTCAGAAAAGCATCACAGGGTGTCTCAAATCATATGATTCCAAATCCATGAGAGGACTAGTGTATAAGCTTTGCCACTGTTCTTTAGAGTGGCTGGTACCATTTATCCCCTGCAGTGGAAATTGATTCAGCATGTTGCAGGGAGAAAACAATTAATGCATTGAGGGATGAACTGAGTTCACTGGGCCTATTAATCCATGTATATCATGGCTCAAATTCGTTTTTTTTCCCCACTGTTTGTTAAATAAGATGGATAGTTAAGTGGTTCCAGGTTGCACGAAGCACAGGACCATAGAACTGCTGATGATGTTGAAGGAAGTTGATGTAGTGCTCAAATTAACTAAAATAATTTAGTTTTTTTGGTCAGAAATCAAGGATATCTTACAGTATGTTTATGCGCCGAATCAGAGGTATCTGCAGCATTGTTTTTTTGGGGGGAATACTCTTTAATCTCTTCTCTCATAAGGACCGATTAAGAAAATTAGTTAAACCTACAGTGGAAAAAAATATAATGAATTTCTATCCTTGAGGACTTTGGGCATTCCTGCACATAGTGAGAAGCTACATTATTATAAAGACATTTTTTCTCATATTAAGTCTTTTAAATTAAATATGATCCATCTTTAAATAATGTAACACAGTAGTGTGGTGATATTTCAAGTTAGGGTGTGTGTCAGAGAAAAATTGACTACAGTGCTGTCCAGTTCTCAGAGAAGTACAGATTGTAACAAGCTGTACTAATTTATGTAGCAGCAGTTTCTTCTGCAGCAGTTGTTTTTTGTACAGGGACCATTGCTGGCTTTTCATCTGCTAATAATTATATCTGTTTAACAAATCCAGCCACGAGTACAAAATGTCTTGGGACTTGTTAATGTTTCTTTGAAGACCGACGTCCTGCAGAGTGGCACAAGGCTCTGAAAGCACATGACTTTCTTGAAGGATGTTTTGCATTTAAATGCATTTGTTGATGTTGGCTTTCATGCATCTTGGTTAAATGAGTGAAAGCATTTGGCCATCTGGAAAGCGTTCACCTTCATGGAGTTTATTTTTCTGGTTTTTCCTTACCACAGAGATCTGGAACCACTTCCAGAAGACGCTTGTGAAACGCTACGCAAGCGAGAGAAATGGAGTGAATGTCATAAGTGGCCCAATCTTTGACTATGACTACGATGGCCTCCGTGACGCAGCAGAAAAGCTGAAGCAGTAAGGACTTAACCAGTTTAACATTATTTGTTATGTCTTTCATGTATATATCATTACACAGTACTTGTTTTAAATTTGTTGTCCATTTGAATAATTCCTACTATATCTGCTGATATTTCAGGTGTAATCATTGTCACATTCTAGGTTTTAATTCCAAAATTGCTTTTTTATTTTACTGTACACCTCCATTTAAACATATGAAGTGGTAATATGGTGTCGTCTTTCAATCATTTAGTAAGCAAGAAAATAAACTAGCAAATATCATGTCTTATTATTACCATCTTAAATGCCAGCCATCTTCTATTTAGAAATAGTGCTTCTAAGTAGCAGCATTATTTTTATATTTCGGGTTGGAAAGAATCATTGTAAATCACCAGGCATTGATGAGGGCATTTCAATCCACAATAAATGTAAAATATACACAATATCGTCTAAAACCCTCCAATTTACATCACTAAATACACAAAAATTCCAGGTATGTGCAGCACCATATTGCTGTTATTGTCTGCGATTCTCCAAGAGGCAACGAAACATTTGATGAGGTGAAGCAAACCTTTTACATTGTACAGGCTTGTGAATACATCTCTAAGCGACCATAAAGTACTTTCTCAAAGGTTAACGATTCTGTGTTTAACTTGAAATTTGTAAAATTTGGTGATACTGTTAATTCATTTATTTTGTTACTGAGATTTAATAACCAGTCTGGAAAATTGCAGTTGCAGTTCCCCTTTAACACCGATTAAAAATAAAAAAATATTTAAGATTAACGCTGCCGCAAAACACAACTGATGTTGTGTATGCTTTACTATTGCCAATTCACTAACTCGTGTTTCTAAAATTGTGTTTTCTCTGACCTTATCCTCTTTTCTTAGTAGCTGATTTTTAGAATACAAAAATCTGGCATGGTATACATTAACTATTTGATGTAAATATTGACTAATGTGTTGAATAAAAGGAATCAAGCTGAGTAGGTTGTTCCATATACCTACAACCCTTTGTGTAAAGAAGGATGCTTCTGACTTAACGCAACAATCAACATGATCTTACCACATCTCCTTCAATATATGCCTGCAGAACCTGGCAGATTGTACATTCAGTGCCTTGTCAGAAGTAGACACCCACAGTGTAGTCTATATGCAAACAGACGCACAATCCACACTTACTCTAAGTGAGCTTTGTCCATTTTATTTTCTTGCATTCGTATTTCAGTTTCTGCTGACACGTCTAGTTTATAGTCTGCTGGTTTACTTTCTCTGAGTCTTGGGGTGAGAAAAGCCTTACTTTAGATGGCCTTTTATAAAAGGTAAATGACATGAACGTACTTTGCACTATCGTCAAAATTACTTCACAATTACTTCTTCTACCCACAAGCAGTACGATTGGCGAATGGCTATTTGACCACACCTACACCAGCTACCTCATAATTGTATTTATTGGACATCTGCAATCATTGTTTACATGTCTGTATTGTTTACATTGGAACTGTTTACTTGTTTACTTGTACATTGTCTACTGTTTGTTTGCATATTGTCTTGATGACCTCTCTGCACTTTGTGTTTCACACTTTTTTTTAACAATTGAGAGACTCTCTGTAAGTAAGAATTCCATTGTAGCTGTACATGTACCGGTTACATACGGCAATAAAGTTCAAGTTCAATGAAATGTTACGGAGCTCACACCTCAGAATGTGTGCTTACGACTGTCGCTAGCCATAGTGCTGAAAAGCATGTTTTTGTCCAGTGATTACAATCTGATATGCTTGTGCCATCATTACTGATAATTTAAGGCAACAAGGATCTTTAAGAGTGACCTGGCTATTGATTGGATTCTTAAAATATATATTCACTTAAAGATGAAGGCTCCCAGATTTGTGTTTCGCAGTATAAATTAATGTAATGTTTTTTTCTTGTAATAATGTATTTATAATATTCATTTGTTTCAATTTTGATTATTATTCTGTTTCTTAAAATATAACTTTAGTGCCACCTGATTGCTGAAAATAGTTTTTTGAGGGATGGTCTTAAATGCAGAAGTTTTTTTCGTAGTAATAGGTAGAGAAGAGAGGGAGTGAGTCATGATCACACTTTCACAATGGTCAAACGGTTACATTAATTTACCTAATTTGTGAGATGGATACCTTTAAACAACTTAAAACAGTTGTTTTGTTTTAAATACCAATATAAAGTAATCCATATTCTTTTCATATACATATTTACATATCAGAATGTGAGATTTATCTTTTTGTTTGTTGTAGGTATGTGAGTGGAGCAATGGCCATTCCTACTCACTTTTACAGTATCATTACCAGCTGTCTGGACTACACCCAGGCAGTGGATAAGTGTGATGGCCCTCTCAGCGTCTTCTCCTTCATTTTTCCACACAGACCTGATAACGATGAAAGCTGTAACGTAAGTTCTCTTGGGTTGAAAGTGTGATAACCTTCATTGTTATCACAGACTTGGTTTTGTTTTGGCTTTAAATTTAATGTTCACTTTTTTTCTTTTTTGTATTCATATTTCTGATTCAAATCACATCTCATTAGTATTGTTTTAGTGAGAAGGGCTGCTGATTAACCTCAGTCTGGGAGGATCCTTTTCTGTCACGGTCAAGACATGCTGCCAACTGGTTTTAGCCATTCTCCCTCACCAGTCGGTTGGTGTCCAGTTGTCAGTCCATTTACCACTGCAATGACTACTGTACTGACCCGGGAGAACTAAATGCAACATGCTTGTCTATGGTAACATACCACTATTATACAGCTCTAGTTATCTGATGTTCCACCTGGGACATGTCTTTTGAAACAAGACATATGAATATGAAGAAATACTGTACCAGATAGATAAGGGAATAAAGAAGGGTGGTTGGGACTAAATGAAAATGTTACTAGAAATTTCAGTAGCACCTCATCAACTATTTATGAAGAGCAATAAATCAAGGCTGAAATTGCCTTCTGCATTTGTTTTTTATTCCAAAAGGCTAGTGGCTCTGGACTCTTCCTCTACTGTTTTAACACATTTAAACATTTTACAGAAACCCAAGAAAAAAAGTATAATTGACATTTAATCTGATTGATGTCTGTTACTGCTTTGGAAAGATTTTACGTTCCGGAATGCATTTATTTCTGCTTTCACTATACTATAGAACTTTATTTTTCTACTATTTATCTAATGGGCACTGATATTTTCTCAGTTTAAAAAAACTACATCGCGTATCAGAGCAGTAAAGAGTTAGCAAAAATTGATTAGCTGATTTACATGTTTTTATTAACAATGAACAGGCCTCAGCCTAAATTGATCAATTAGCTGACATACTATGTATTGATGGGGGAATGTCATATCCATAATTAATCCGTAATTACCAGATCACCACAGGGCTGTGTTTTGTCCACCTCACTGTACATTTTCTATACTAATGATTGTAAAAGCGAACACACAAATAGACATCTCATTAAGTTTGCTGACGACATAGCCCTGGTCAGCTTATTAAAGGACCCAAAAAAACATCATCCATTCTAAATTGCAGTTAAATGTTTTAAAAACAAAGGAGCTGATCATTGATTTTAGAAAAAATGAAACACCCCTCCAAGCTACTGTAATTAATGGTCAGACTATTGTAATTGCTAATGACTACAAGTACTTGGGACTGGACATGGACAAAAGCCTGAGTTGGGACAAATGTTGTGACACCATGTATAAAAAAGGACAATAGAGACTCTCCTTTCTAAGGAAACTAAGCAATTTCAAAGTAGACGGAACCATCCTAGTACTTTTCTACAAGGCTTTTATTGAAAGTGTTGTACCATACTGTCTCACTGGCTGGTTTGATAACATTAGTACCATTGATTGTAACAGGCGGGAAAAACTAGTCAAAATAAGTAGCAAATTACTTGGGGCAAATCACATCACCTTACATTTCCTCTACAAACAGAGGGTGGCAAAGAAAGCAATGTGTATTATGGATTGTGTCTCTCGCCCCCACCATTGCGAGTTCACACTTCTCCCGTCTGGGGGACACCTCTGTGTGCCTAGGTGTAATACTAATAGACACAGGAAATCTTTCATCCCCACTGTAATATCTCTTTCAAACAATGTATTGTAACCTTCCTCTCTTATCTTATGGTAACACTGTTTCACTGACCTGTTCGTTGGTAAAATTTTGTCTGTCATTGTGTTATTTAGGTTATTTCCCCAATGGAACAATAAAGCTTGAATGGAATTGTCTATGAATCTATGATAGCAGCAACTGAGAAGTTACAGTGTTAAGACTTAAGCAATGTGAAAACTCTGTTTTTTCTTTAAACTCTGTTTTTCTTTTCAGAGCTCTGAAGACGAATCAAAGTGGGTTGAAGATCTCATGAAGATGCACACTGCACGTGTGAGAGATATCGAAATTCTGACAGGGCTGGACTTTTATCGCAAGACTAGCAGAAGTTACATAGAAATTCTTTCCTTAAAAACTTACTTACATACATACGAGAGTGAGATATAAAGAGAGAGAGAGAGAGATCTGGCTGGTACATCTTTAATGCACAGGTGTATATTTTTATACTGTTTCATATTTATTATTCCTGAAAGTTTTTAATGGCTGTTAGTACCCTAATCTTACGTAACAAATCAGCTTTGTTCTTAAGTAAAAAGCATGGATGGATCGTTTATTTTGAATTATTGTTTGTGATTTTCAGTTAGATTACAGTGTGTTTTGTGTAAAATGTCTGAACATTGGCTTTTTTAGCCCAAATGTTTTGAGCGGTGCTACAGGAGTGGGAGTTTATAATCCTGCAACTCTGAATCCTGTACTGTATACTAAAATGAACTTGTAATATTACGTCTATATATGTACTACTAACCGTGTGATTGACATATTTATTCCTTATAGACCAATGAAATCGCAGCATAATAAACAGTGTTTTTACTTAATAAGATGATGCCAGTTTCATGATTTCAGAAATATTTTACTCCCTGATGGGCATTCCGAATCAAATGCATAGTGTACAGTAACTGAAGACCTAAATGTTGAAGTGATCTGTAGGCCTGTGATCTAGAGCAAAGGCTGAATTTCCTCCAGTGTTTTCAGACCTTAGAATGTTTAGGTAGAGCCCAAGTTAATTGGACTAAAGTCATTCTTTGATAAGTAATCAAAATGTGGCAATTCCTGTGACTTCCTGTGTTTCATGTGGTTGGTTTTGTGATTGTATGTCTTTACGGGTAATAAATGTGAACATTACAAAGACTGGTAAAGGTATTAATCCAGTTTTATCTAATCCATGCAATGTAATGATTCTTGATCAGCATAACATCTGTTTTTTTATAATTCTGAAAATTGCATTTTCAGAATTAGACAGAAGTTATAAAAACAGCCTTCAACGTAATTATTAAATTACCTGAAGATATAACATCACACTTTTGTTTTACACCTAGTTTGTGTTTCCTTAAACTGTTATATTAACTTAACAATAGATTTTACAGAGACCCTGTTGGGGAACTTGTCTAATTTACATGTAACTGACTTTTTCTACAGCTGTTGAACTTCTGAGAAACCTAGTAGAATTAAACAGCATAGTTTCAGCGACTGATCAAGTCCTACCAACCAAATAATTATCAGTAGAAAATCCAATCCTTTTTGGGGAAAAAAAAGTTCAAATTCCACCAAAACATATTGATTTTATTTCTGATTCCACACCTGTGGTTTGCGCAGTTTGTTTAAAATGTCTTTGGATCAGGAGCCTGTTTGTGTTGGTGTTCAATATTTTATCTCTTCTTCCATCTTATTCAAACTCTTGCTTCAGCAGGATTGCTTTGGTGCTTAGATATGGACTTTTTTGTTACCTTACCATTTTATCTTAATAGAAATATTGTGAAAGAATATGGGGCAAGGTACTGAAAAGAGCCCAGGCCAGATTAAGCGTCTTGAATATCTGCTCTTGATAACCTTATTATACAATCTTGTAACTCTTTTATGTTCAGTAGCTATGGTTCCTTTAAGCATCGGGGGTGGTGTCCTGAGTGTGAGATGTCCCTAAATTTGAGGCTCTTTTGTTATTCCGATTTTCCTTCAGAATATGTAAATGTGAGGAGGCAGCCCCTTTTGCCTTTTAGAAGGAGATAAGGATGAGGCTTTGGTGGAGAAGGGTTCTGTCTAGTAGATAAGAGCCTTAGTGACCGAAGGAGCTCTGGCTGCCAGAGAGCTTGATGCCTGAGAAGATTTTTTTTTTTCTCTGGTGTGCGAACGTGAATCCTGACTGCTTTAAAGGTAAAATTAAGAATTTGAATGAATGTGTGTCATTAAAATGCTCAGTAAGTAAAGTAACCCAACCCTTTACACTGGGCAATAATGAACAGTGTTATTAGGACACCCAGAATC